CTAGGGTTTTCAATTCATACACCTACGAGATGCATACCAAGTATAACAATTCTTTTTACATTTATAGAAACAAACAAGCATACTTACGGATCTTCACACTTTTTATACAATACTCTTTTCAGAAAATATCGGATTTTCTGGTGGTTTTCAAAAGAATACAAAACATTATATTTCAAACATTACTTATGAACTCACCAACATTTCATATGTTGATGTTTTTCAAAATGCTTGTATTCTCAGGTAACAGGTAAATCGAAGGGAAAATGTACTCAGTGATATCTTGTTGTTTGTTTAACTAGTATCGATCAATCTACTTTTTGGGAATGTAATGTTTGAAACAATGTACTAAATGCAAACACTACTAGTTGTACTATTCCAATGCATGGTGATGAATGATGTTATGTTTCATGTATATTCACTGTGATGATATTCAATTAAGTCACAACAGCCATCGGACGTTTCCGCCGTCTGGTTCGGGGGTGTGACACTCTAATCGGTTGAGTAGAGCCTAGAGATTAATCGGAGATTAATCGCGACCTAGTCGGGATTTTTACAACAGTGATATATATATATATATATATATATATATATATATATATATATATATATATATATATATCAACCAGTTATAACTCTTAAAATAATTAGGTTTTATACATGAATATATATCCCATCACTTGTATCACTTATATCTTAATTTCCCTAGTTGATTTCTACACTTGTATCACTTATATCTTAATTTCCATGGTTGATTTCTACTTGTAAACCCATTTATAACCAATAGGCTTTATGTCCACTATATAAATCAAATACAACCTAAGTCTCATTCATGTTTAAATCCATTTCATCATTCACTATAACTATAATTATTATCTTTAATTACACCATAAAAACTCGATAAAATTACATAAGTGGTCCTTATGGTTTATAAAATGTCACAATTTTAGTTCATGCAATTTTTTTTACAAACATGGTCACTATTGTTGGGATATGATGATCATAGGAGCACAAAACAACAAAATCATTAAAGTTATGAATTGATCTTCATGATCTACTATGGATCTCATTCTAGCAACTTTTTAATAACATAATTAACTAAAAAGATATAAATTGAAGCATACCTTCTTGTTGAACTAAAAAAGCCGTATTTATCTTGTCTTGGATGATTTAGAGCCCGAATGAGAACTTCGGTAGTGATGGAACCTAAGAACGATGACTAAGAAACTAGACAACAACAAAAAAAACTCCAAAACCCTATCCATGAGAGGGAGAATCCAGAGGTCTTGAAGAACCATGAAGTTTAAAGGGAAAAAAGAGGAAGAAACCATTTCATCATATGATCAGACATTAGCGTTGATTTTTATTCTAAGTATTATCCCTTATTATATATATATATATATATATATATATATATATATATATATATATATATATATATATATATATATATATATCTTTATATATATATCTTTATTTAAGGGATAAATACTACTAATTTAAACCGGGGTAGCTACACTTAAGACCCTTAATTATTTTATTTTCCAATTAATGCCATAATTTAACGAACTAGTCTATAATTTGCCTCTTTTTTCATCTAATGCTTAAATCGTGTCTTGTGTGTAACCCAAAAGGACTATACTAATTATGAAAAGCCACTAACTTGTTGTGACCATATGCATATTTCCAACCATCTTCAATTTGCACATGTTACAAGAACTATATAATCCTACCTTCCTTAGCTTAGAAAGGTGTACGTCGTCTAGGACTATAGATGTACTCATAACCGAGAGGTATGGATAGTACTAAGTGATAAATATTCCTTTGTTATGTGATATCCATATATAAACGTAAGACATGGAAAATTTTCAATCAAATATTCAAGACTATGTTTCCCGATTGGGTTTTGTGATGACCCACAACATACTACACGATTGATCTATTATTAACTTAGTTTGAGTATAGCCATACATTTGAAGTCGGTACCAAATCATCGAGGGGTCCAACGATATCACTTCTCATGTTAGGGTAGAAGGAACACATAAACTTTGAATACATGGACGATATCACTCACTCATCATGTCACAAACCAGACACTCCTTGTTTGAATGTTAGTTATGGACACATTAAGAGCACCAAAGCACAACAAACTGCATGACTAAGAATCCCTTCATCTCCGTTTGAAGAATATATATGATATTGTTATCTTAGAATTACTCGTAACAGTTCCGATGAAGTAATCTCTAAGTATGAGTTACTCCAATACTTAATCTCCATTAAATACACATGAGTATTAGTCGCATCTCCATACTATGTCCATCTCCATGAAGAATATACTAATATATCATGATAATCTTAAATAAATTAATGTTGTAAAATTTGGTTAAACATGCAAATGCAATATAATAGTGAATTAATGAAATGACTTTCTCCCACACATTATGATATCCACTTAATAATCATCAAATCACATAAAAATTTACAATTTATAAGTTCCCACATAAGATCAAACTAAATTAAACACATTCAAGCCAAATGATTTGTAAAACTAATGTCTTTCAACCTAGTATGACAATGATACTTGGGTTGTGACAATAGCTTTATGAGTGGATCGACAAAATATTCCCATATAACTCTAGTGACGATAAATTCTTCATTTATACTAATTGTCATATGCAATGGTACCTGCTGAGTAGGGCCGATCCAAACGTATTTGAAAGCCAGATTGAAAAGAAAAAAAGGACCCCTTACAGACAAATATAATAAAGATTTTAAAAAAATATTATTTATTTTTTACTATAAATGCATTCAATTAACAATAATAAACAAACCAAATTGTTTATCTTTTAAGCTAGTTTGAGTTTGAACCAACTTTAGGCCATAAAAATCATTTAGATAATAATTTTTTTTATATATATACACTACATAGCCAAGAAATTTTAGGCCCCTGGACACATGGGCCCTGGGCGGTCGCTGGGGCTGTCCACCGTCTGGACCGGCCCTGTTGCTAAATATATATGCCTTGTACGGTAACGACATCTCACACTCTTATTTTCATAATTAATGTATATTTTTTTATGGTTAACAAATATAATGATTCAACCTTAACAAAAACAAATTAAAACTTCCTCTTAAATTTGTTAAAATTGAAAACAATTATTATTGTAAATAAAATTACAATTTTTAATATAAAATTAATTCAAAATACATTATTATTATTATTATTATTATTATTATTATTATTAAATTAAATATTGATGGGAGAGTGTAAACTAAAAAAGCACAATCAAAAATGACATGCCAAGTAACAAGATGGAGAAAGGGCGAGGGAGGGAGCGTTGCGGTTGCTGAGAGGGCGGTGTTGGTGTGAGATAATAAGTCCCCTTCGCTTGTAACATTCCATCTCTCTCCACCTCCATTTTTCTTTTTCACATATTTCTTCTCCCATTAATTCTCTCTGCACATTTCCACTTATACATACATATATATTTATATCTACCAACACATCACCCACAGACATACCTTAAATTATACATATATCATTCATCAGAATTATTTTAGTTTTGATTCCATTTTTGCTTCTTATCTTCTTCATCAACCACCTTTTCTCTGTTCATCAATCGGCGTTTACCTTCATCTTTTTCTCTATATAAACACACACACACTCCACCTACAAGGAGTCAAACACACATCTTTCAGTTCTTCCCCTTTCTCTGTTCTTCCTCTTGTTCATAAATCACACTCACAGAAACGATTCGGTTGATTTTGCTTCGAGCTTATCGAGGTAAGTGATAAATTCTCCCGCTCATTTTCGATTATTCCAAGATTGTCAATTTCGAATAAGATTTTTTGTTCTTCGATGTTCTTCATTGATGAATGTTTGTTTATTAGTTTTTTTTTTTGATATTATAATCGTGATTCAATTACACAAAAAATAGAACTAATTTAGGTTATAATCATGATTCAAAATGAACTGTATGTCTAAATCTTTTCTATTCAGAAAAATTAGATTATTATGGATATAATATCGTTTTTGTAATAATGTTTAATGTTAACTGCATAATATAATGATATAAAATCAGAATACTTTTGTTTATTTTTCATTTCTGCAATACTATTTTCTATTCTTTTTGTTTTTTCGTTTCAATTTAAGACTTTTTATATTATCGAAAACATATTGCTACTTTAGGTTAAAAATAACAAAGAATATTTTGTTTAAAAGGAATACACGTAAATGTATGCTAATATTTTGCGTAAAATTTGTGTTCATATAGTTTTTTTTTTGACAATTTCTAATTGGTTTTTCTTTTTAGTTTCTTAGCTAGTTCTTTTAATAATATGTGGCTGTTAAATAAAAATATATAACAGATTTTTTAAATTAAGTATTTGATAAAAAAGAAAACTTATTTATATATTAAAGAAAATAGAGATTATCGGTTTTATATGCTATCAAATCCAAGTGATCCAAATTTTACGACAATATATTACCTTATCTCATTATGCATTGAATTTTACGTTTTGTGATTCTTAAGTTTTGTATTCTTTTATTGTGATTCAATATTTTAAATTTTTGGGCGAAGAGAATATTAAACCTTTGAGTAAAAAGAACTAAAGTCGACATTAATTTCCATTTAGAATTTTATGAAACATTCATTAAATGTTACTCTAGTTATTCCCTTTTTTAATATTCTTTATTTTTCATACCATGATTATTTCACACTCAAAAGTGGAGCACACGTTTTAGTAGAAAATTTTGTGTTTCATGAATATCCTTTTCAGTTTAAAAATATTATTATATTTCTACAACTTTTGTAGCTCCAATACAAAATTTTTAGAAATTGTTAAAATAATTATTTTATTTTATAAAAGTATATTTTTTTTTTCTATTTTTGATTGCTTCCATGGATATGGCTATCTGCTGTCATATTCCTATGCAGACCAGGTGTTCGATCATTTGCTTCTGTGAGAATACCACCGTGTAATTCAAATCAAAGCTGTTCAAAATGCCTGAAATTGTCGCCGACGTTTCAACCTCAAATCCGGCCGGCGATAACATACAAACCGGAGGATATGTCCCACACAAAGAGCTTTTCGGCTACTCATCGCCGAGAAGCCCATTGACGACACTCAGCCCGGAGAGCGATTCAATGGGTTTATCCGTTGACAGTCCCGGCGGCGTCGACACCTCCATTGAACAGCTCTATAACAACGTCTGTGAAATGCAAAGCTCCGACCAGTCACCTTCCAGGTTCAGTTACTTATCATATGGTCAAGAATCGCGAATAGATTCCGAGCTCCGCTTTCTCGCCGGAGGAGACTTTATGAAACCAGACGGCGGTGCTACAAAAGAGACAGTCGTCACAATCGATGAAAAAGAAGCGAAAGAAACATCAAACGACAGCAACACGACTGTAAACATCCCAAAATCTGAACAGTCTTCAACTCCAAAAAACCGACTTCCTTCTCGTAAGAGGATTCCATCGAGGATAAATCTCAAAAAACAAGAAAAAATTTCACCCAACGAAGATCCAGCGTACCTCGGGACTTATTTACTCAAACAAGCGCGAGACTTGTTGTCATCAGGTGATAACCCGAAAAGGGCTTTTGAATTGGCTCAACGAGCATTGAAATCATTCGAAAGCATCCAATCTGAGACACCAAATTTGGAAGTCGTCATGTGTTTGCACATCGTAGCAGCTTTGAATTGCAGTTCTGGACGTTACACCGACGCCATTCCTTTGTTAGAACGTTCAATCGAAATCCCAAACATGGACCAAGGTCAAAAACACTCTCTCGCTAAATTTGCAGGGTGTATGCAGTTAGGCGATACGTATTCAATGATTGGAAACATCGAGAATTCAATACTTTGTTACACCGCCGGTTTAGAAATCCAACGACAAGTTTTAGGTGAATCCGATTCCCGATTTGGTGAAACTTGTAGATACGTAGCGGAAGCTCATGTACAAGGTATGCAGTTCGATGAAGCTAAGCGGTTATGTCAAATGGCTCTTGATATACACAAAAACGGTTCACCGGAAGAAGCCGCCGACCGGCGGCTCATGGGGCTGATATGTGAAGCGATGGGAGATTACGAAACCGCCCTCGAACATTACGTTTTGGCGAGCGTCGCCATGGCCGGAGATGGACACGAAACAGAAGTTGCTGCTATCGATGTTTGCATCGGGGACGCTTATTTATCATTGTCTCGTTACGACGAGGCGATTTTTTCGTATCAGAAATCGCTTAATCTTTTCAAATCAACAAAAGGCGATAATCATCCATCAGTTGCTTCGGTTTTCGTCCGATTGGCCGACGTCTACAACAAAATCGGGAAACTACGTGAATCGAAATCGTACTGTGAAAACGCGTTACGGATTTACGTGAAACCAGTCGCCGGAATCCCTAGAGAAGAAATCGCGAGTGGTTTGATTGAAGTTTCGGCGATTTATGAGTCGATGAATGAACTCGATCACGCAATTAATCTACTGAAGAAGGCGTTGAAGGTGTACGGGAAGGCGGTAGGTCAGTTGAGCACGGTGGCCGGAATTGAAGCTCAGATTGGGGTTTTGTATTATATGATGGGGAAGTATTTGGAGTCGTATGGGTGTTTGAAGGCGGCGATTGGGAAGCTGAGGCGGTGGGGGAGAAGAAATCGGCGCTTTTTGGTGTTGCTTTGAATCAAATGGGGCTTGCTTGTGTTCAGATTCACTCGATAAATGAAGCGGCTGATCTTTTTGAAGAAGCGAGAGGTATATTGGAGACAGAGTATGGGCCTCACCATCCTGACACACTTGGGGTTTATAGTAATCTTGCCGGCACTTATGATGCCATGGGCAGGTATTGAATCTAATTTGAATCTATTTCGTCTTATAACTTTTTATGTTAGGATTTGATTTGAACTAAACTTTTGTATTTTCAATGATAATAATAAGGAGAGAGAGAGAGAGAGAGAGGGGTATCTATGTCTTTTCCACAGACTAGATACCGAGATTCAATCAGTGTCCCACCGTGTTCCAATTTATCAGCCGAACAAAAGATTGTCATGTTTGTATCTTTGATATCGGTTAGAGCGTATGTCAAATGCAGTATAATCTATCTAGTCATTTGTGAAAAACAAGGCCTTAAGGCCTTGCTTGTTAGGTAAAATATGACGTTACAAATTATACTACGATACAAAAATTAGAATATTTTATTCCATTGAAAAAGTGGAATAAGTTGGGACACAGACCAACTCTTGATCTCTCGTTTGTTCAAACGATGTAATTGCCCTCCACACAATTATTATCGAAATTAATCTTATGAAGTTTATTAATTCTTGTCCAATCTTGACCTGTGTGATATACAGTCGAATAATTCAGATATAAATAAAGTTAACAATTTGACGTGTGTAGATGGGACGATGCGATTGAGATACTTGAATATGTGGTTGGGATGAGAGAGGAGAAGCTTGGAACTGCGAATCCGGATGTGGATGATGAGAAGCGGAGACTAGCAGAGCTTCTTGGGGATGCGGGCCGAAATCGGAATAAGAAATCACTCTCACTTGAATTCCTTCTTGATGCCTAATTTGGATTTTTAAATATGGTTTGATAGAAACATAGGAACATTAAAGTTGGGGTTCCATTTTCTATTGTTGTTGTATGCTTTTACTTCAAATTTTGTGTAAAAATAAATAAATGGGAATTTGTGGTTTGTTAATTGTGATGATAATATTTTGTTTATTCACAAAATAGTTTGGCTATTTTTTTTTTTAATTCGAACTTCCATAACATAGCATATAAGTTTGATACCATTAACCGAAATATATGTTGTTATTTAATTTATGATCGGGTTTACAAGGTTATAGTTTTGTTATAAAAATGGACTTCTACATAACCACCTCATAAGCTTCATCCCACCCTCTTAGAAGAGCTTCCAATGGAGTATAGTGGCAACATCTTTTACCTAGCAAAGGAAGAAAGGGGCAAAATATATATAGTAACCACTTGAATATTATATATATTATTTAACGAAATAATAATAACAATTGACAACTTTTTATTATTCGATATACAAAAGAGTAATGAAGGAAAAGATATTTAACTCGTTCATACAGAGGTA